TCGCAGAAATTGTTTGCTGGCTCAGGTTCGCAGTCATTATTTTTGGCAGAGACAAGCGACAGCCAGAAATACATCTGTGTTCGCAGGCTAGGTGCTTTGACATGGTGCAAAAAAAAAATTGTTGTCTTTGTTGAAGCATTTAAGCTTATATGAGAGGGATCCACCGTATCTGTATTTCTGTTAGAAAACAGGATGATGGCAGGACGACAAGTAAGGGTAGATCCCTCATCTTAACATCCTCTTTTTCCCTTTAGGCTTTTTCTACAGACATGCTTTGTGCAAGCTATGGCATATGACATCTATCTCATGTTTTGAAAATAAATTTTTACAGTGAGCACAATGCAATCTTCATTGTTTCTCATCACATTTTCTTTGCAATGACTTTAAAAACTAGATGCAATCCAGACTGACAACCACAGCAGCTTTAGAAGGGAGCAAAAGCAACCCAAAAGTAAGTTGTTTTTATCATGTTGTATAAGTAGTACAGTATGTGCAGGTCAGCGTGGGATAGTGTACATGTTTTCAGGAGTACAGTGAGATACTTGATATACATACTCTGATCATTTACTTGTACATGTTCTCAGGGGTGCAGTTTCAATACCTGTACTTGTTCTATTCATAAACTGCATATTTTGTTCTTTTCTAAGATATGGTTTGCATTTGGTGCCCTTGCTGCTGGGGGTCTTGCTACTGGTTACATTCTTCAGCCAAGTGTTGGTGCCGCAGATCTTGAACTTCACCCTCCACACTTCCCTTGGGATCATAAAGGTCTCCTTAGTTCACTGGATCATGCAAGGTATGCTCATGTATGATGTGGCTCAAAATCAAGTTACAAGTTATTCAGCAATATATTAAATTTGGAAAATAATAACAATTTTTTTATCGATAGGAATCAAAGCCTAGAGGGTTAGAGACTTAAAATCAATCAAAATCACAATTAAGTAACATGTACTGGCTTTATTTGTTTTAATTTTGTGGAAATTTTATTTTATTTACTCAATAATATATTTAGTGTATATGTACACTGTATACATGTAGGTCTTGATGAATATGTAACATACTACAATATGTTGCAGACAGTTAACTAAGAGTTTATCTTTGTTTGCCAGTATTCGGCGGGGCTATGAAGTTTATAGACAAGTTTGTGCTGCTTGTCATTCAATGGACCAGTTAGCGTATCGTCATCTTGTGGGTGTAGCTTACACTGAGGATGAAATGAAAGCTATTGCCGCAGAGGTATGGAAACAAACTCCTTTCATGACTTGGTCATGTACGCTTAAATTTTGTAGTTTTGTAACATACATGTACATAAACAGAGTTCTCCCGAAAATTT